CGGATGCCCTTAAATTGAGAAGATCGCATCCAAATGTCCTCGATGCATTGGATGTAATCGGCGAGACGTTGAAATTTCCTCCGAGCCTGTGACATTTACCTGTCGCTGATCCCATTGGGTGAAATAGGAATCTTCTATCCAGCAACTAGAGGCTATAAAAATTGGGCTGACAATGATCTTTCGTACATTTACAATGAAATCCTGAAAAGCTGTAGGCCAGACACCTTTCCTCATATCACAACGTATCAAATGTCCATTGAAAGGTATTTGTAGTCAAGTTGAGAATAGATGTCATTCGACCTTGATAACCAGACACTTCAACTGTAGCTAATATATATATATATATATATATATATATATATATATATAATGTGTGTCTGTATATATATATATATATATATATATATATATATATATATATATATAATATAAAAGGCTCAAACACTAATATTCTATGGTTTATAATTTATTACATTGGATTCGTAATCACGATCCAATTCATCAGACCTAGATATTCAAAAAAGGTTTGATGTATTGATCGTGATTACGATTCCAATGTAATAAATTATAACCATGGAATATTAGTGTTTGAGCTTTTTATATTATATTCTTAATTTGTACTGGACATTGAGTTCTTCCTGGATTCTATCCTCTTGGGAATTTATATATATATATATATATATATATATATATATATATAATTTTATAACATGAATATAATATTTATGTTATAATTTTCGAATAAATAATTATATTTGCTCTAGTCTGTATTGAGCACTCTTTTAAGAATAGTAATTGTTGGTTATTGGCATTTATTTTGCATACACCAATCCTATACTTGTGTGTGTTTGTATATATATATATATATATATATATATATATATATATATATATATATATTGTCATCCACACACATATATACTATGGCTATACATCCGATTGTCTCAAGCTGGGATCGAAATCCGACTGATTTGGTTTCAGTTGGAGACGCTACTCCTAAGACATTGTCGCACGGCAGGGATGAAGTTGAATTCAATTATTTTTAGATAAACACGCCAGTGACTGGGAGAACTCGATTCGTCTTAACGAAGATGTATGTATGAAATATGGAAATTGATTTCAACATGAAATGCCAGTGTGTTTCATGGTTGAACGAAATCTTCAGGTCATATAGGTTTGATCAGTGGTCCCCAATCAATTTTGGACCATGCCCAAATTTAGTATTTCTAAAATTCTGGTGCCCTCCTGTAATATTTAATTCTTATATGTATGCCAATTACACATGTACGTACGTACATACACACAAAATGTTTTTTTTTTTATGTATGCATACTGTATATGTATTAACATATATTAACATTAACATTCTCACTCAGACTCACTAGAAAACAATTCACTGTTAATAACTTATTCTCGAATTGCCCTTTTATTCTGTTGGTATAGTAAGTCGAAGGGTGCACATCTTACGCAGGCCCCACCAAAATATTGCCATGCCTCACCTATAGGCCATGCGCCCTACGTTGGGAAAATTTGCACTAGTATATATATATATATTTATATATAAAAGAAATATGTTGTAGTGGTTCCAACGAGAGAAAAGTATGTATATTAAAAAGAAGAGGGGTGCCGCAAACGTTTTTGGTTGTAATGTGGATTTATTGAGAAAAAATATTATACTTTTTTTTTACATAATTTCACGACACGTGTTTCTGGTCTGGTCTCGCAAACCGTCTTCAGGTGAAAGTGGAGATTTTTACATATTATTAAAATAATTAATTTTTCTTCATGTTCGATGTGGAATATTCTCGATATGAGACATTCTGTTTTGTGTTGGCAATCCGAATTTTCTTTCTAGAATTGTCAATGAAGAGTTCTGCGTGAAGGGTCATAAAACAATTAAGGTTTGTCCAGCGAGTAGTTATCGGCATTTAATCTTTTAATGTTTTAGTGACCTCTATGTGCTCTTGGATCTGTTTCTATTTTGGCGTGTTCCTGTCAGCATGCGTGTATATATGCGTGCGTATATTTCCTTACTACGAGGAATTCGTAAACTTATTTGTACTTATACACGCATACACACACATACGCACATACACACTATCCCACCACAAGTAGTCAGCACACACACACATATACACACATATTTCCCAAGCTACATGGAACCAGTACACACACATACACACGCACACACACACACACGTACTTCTTAAGTTGTCAACATCCGCATGACTAACATATATATATTATCGGTAGCAAGAAGGTTATTTTAAATTATTCTGGTGGATACTGAATATAAAAGAAAGCTAATATTTTTATAGATATTTATTGGTTTGTTTCTTAACGTATAAATTACTTTTATTATCAATTGCTTTTCTTCATTCATTAATTATTCACTACTGATTGTTTATATTAAATTTACCTGTGTTTATGTTTGCTTTTGAACACTTTATTCGTTTATTTATTTACTTAAATAAATATTTAATTATTTTTATTTATTTAT